GGTGCGGGGGGGCCCCAGCCACTGCTGGTAGGCGAACGACGCCGGCTCCCGACCCTTCTGCACAGGGCAGTGGGGCCCTCGACGACTCCGAGGCGCCGATGCCTGACGGGCGTGGTCCACTCAGACTGAGCACGCCCCTCCCTAGGGTGCCGTCCTTTTGTATTGTCCTGGGCGGGAAAACCTGCGCAGGGCGGGGTGCACAATTTCCATGCCGTGTGCACGGCTTCTGCGTGCCACGTGCACCACTTGGTGCCGAGTGCAAAGGACATTAGGCAGGAAAACAGAGTCCTAGACCTTCCCACGGAGTTTGTGGTCATTTTGAAAACATAAGCACCTTACACACAAATCACCGTCCTTTTGTATTGTCCTGGGCGGGAAAACCTGCGCAGGGCGGGGTGCACAATTTCCATGCCGTGTGCACGGCTTCTGCGTGCCACGTGCACCACTTGGTGCCGAGTGCAAAGGACATTAGGCAGGAAAACAGAGTCCTAGACCTTCCCACGGAGTTTGTGGTCATTTTGAAAACATAAGCACCTTACACACAAATCACATAAATATTATAAACATCATAACATCCCAACAGAATCTTGGATTGCTGCACTGCCCTACTGACATCTGCATCCTCCCTGAAAAACCTACTGATAACATAGTAGGCCGTGAATGTGTGTATAGAGGACAATGTGGCTGCCCTACGGCTTTCCTGAAGGGGAACTTGTGCCACAAATGCAGTCAATGAGGCATGCGCTCTAGCTGAGTGGCCCATGACTGATGGGGGTGTAACCCCTGCCAGTTTATAACAGGTGAATATGCACTGTACTGTCCAGGATGATATGCACTGTGCAGAAACCGGATCCCCTTTCATCCATTCTGCTATGGCCACAAACAGTTGTGTGTATTTCTTGAATGGTTTCATATGGTCAATATAGAAAACTAAAGCCCTTCTCATGTCTAGCATGTGCAGCACCCTTTGTCTAGCACTAGAGTACAGTTTCAGATTAAAAAATGGGAGAAAAATATCTTGACCCAGGTGGAACTGGGAAATAACCTTTGGTAAACAGGTCAGATGTGGCCTGAACTGCACCTTGTCCTTATGGAAAACCGTATATGGGGTTCGGGGGAAAGAGCTCTCAGCTCAGACACCCTCCTCACCAAGGTGATGGCCATCAGGAAGGCCACCTTCATGGAAAGATGAAGCAATGAACTCTCAGCCATTGGTTCAAGTGGGGGGGAGGTACCATAAGTCTATTGAGCACCAAGTTAATGTCCCAAGTGGGTACAGGTAAACAAGAATATGGTTACAACCTAACACCTTCCTAAAGCAGATTACCATGAGTTGACTGAACAGGGAACATTGGGAGCACTCTGGGTGAAAAGAGGACACAGCCATTAGGTGAACATTGACCGAGGAGGGTGATAGGCCCTGTGTTCATAAATGCAACAGGTAATCCAGTACCACCAGGATGGGTGCCCTCCTGAAGGAGAGATCCCATTCTGCACATCAGGTAGAAAACCTCCTCCACTTGGCTAGGTATGCCACCCTAGTAGAGGGCTTTCTGCTTTCCAATAGAACCTCCTGCACCTGGGCTGAGCATTGAAGCTCAAAGGGTACGGCTAAACGACAAGTTTTTGTTGGAAAAAGGTATGCAAAATGCGCTCCGCATTTTGCGTACCCTTTTCCGATTCTTTTGTTGGAACAGGCTTTTCTGACATTTGGCCTGTCTAGACTGGACAAGGAATGTAGAGGCATCCAAAAGAGTGCATTTGCACTTCCGCTTTTTTTTGCGGAAGAGCAATCGCGTTCCCTGGACACAGCGGAGTTTTTTCAGGATACAAAAACCCCGCAGACTGAACCATCCAGCTTCCATTCCATGAGATGGAGAGAGTGCAGGTCAGGGGAGGCCACGTTGCTGCCCTAGACTCATTACGCCGCACGAGCCCACCGCTTAGAGGGAACACAGGTTGGTCATGAATCGATAGGGCAACGGGCTTTCAGAAGGTCTGCGCGCCTCCACTGCTCCCAGGGCTGAGCGCAAGAAGAAGCCCATGGAAGAGATTGGAAACGGGACCCTGGATTTGTGTAGGGTTTGATCCTTGCCCCAGCCCAGGCTGCTGCTGTTCCATTTTAGCCTACAGGAACCATCCGCTAGGATCGCCCGAACTTCCATGTCCTGCGAGCCTGGCTCAGGGCCTCCTGGACCTCCCTGTTTCTCAGGCTGTAGATGAGGGGGTTGGCCAGGGGCGTGAGGACGGTGTAGGCGACAGAGAGAACTTTCTTGAAGTGGCGCAGGAGGTCGGTGGTGGGGAACATGTAGACGGCCAGCAGAGTCCCGTAGTACACGCTCACCACGAGGAGGTGGGAGGAGCAGGTGGAAAAGGCCTTGTGCCGCCCGGCGGTGGAGGGGATCCTGAGGATGGCGCTGAGGATGCAGGCGTAGGACGCCACGGTGAGCAGGAAGGGGACGAAGGAGAAGATCAGGCTGAGTGCGAAGGCCAGTGTCTCCATCTGCCGAGGGTCGTCGCAGGAGAGTTTGACCAGGGGGACGAGATCACAGAAGAAATGGTCGATACCGTTGGGGCCGCAGAAGGTTAACTGGGATAGCGACAATGTAGTGACGCTATTACCCAGAAACCCGCCTATCCAAGAGCCAGATGCCAGCTGGAGGCAAGCCCTGCTGCTCATCCGGGCTGCGTAGTGCAGGGGGTTGCATATGGCGACGTACCGGTCGTAGGACATCGCGGCTAGGAGGAGGCATTCTGTCGCCAGCAGAGCTCCGAAGAAATAATATTGAGAGAGACACCCAGCCAAGGAAATTGTCCTGTCTCCCGTCAGGAGCCCGGCCAGCAGCCGGGGCAGGATGGTGGAGGAGTAGCAGGTCTCCAGGCAGGACAGGTTCCCCAGGAAGAAGTACATGGGGGTGTGGAGGTGCCGATCCAGCAGAACTAGCCCCATGATGAGGGCGTTCCCGGCCATGGTTGCCAGGTAGATGGCAAGGAACAGCAGGAAGAGGAGGGGCTGCAGCTCTGGGAAATCCCCGAGTCCCTGCAGGAGAAATTCCATGATGAACGTTTGGTTTTCCCGCTCTGGACTCGCCATGGGGCGTCTCGACGGGAAAGAAATGAACTCTGCCAGGAATAAAGAACATTCACTCAGTGAAACATCAGCTTCCTCCCTCTCTGACGGTTACTGGAGCAATGGGGGAGCAGAGCACAGAGGCTAGGTGTGGGGGGGGGGGGCGGG